ATATACAGTGTGTAACAACGAAAACATAACAGAGCCGTTTTTGAATATAAAAAGTAAGATGTTTAAAAAAAGCTCGGACACGTCGATTCCTAATTAAAGGGGGACACCTTTCAGACTAATCAGATTTTTTGTAGTACACACCTCCTCGGAGGTGGAAAACGCAGATTACTTTCTGGAATATGGAGAGTCGATTTGATAATGCTTCCTTAGAAACGACCCAGGGGAAAAGAGAGGGAGATGATAAAAATCGCTAGTAGGACATTTGGTATGAATGCCTATTGTGGAAGAAATAGTAAAGGCAAGGAATTCAAGATCGACACAAATTATTCGGAACCAAAGCCCAAAAAAACCATTCACAATTCAATATCAGGCAGTGCTGTTTTGGCCTGCTAAGGTCTTATCTGTGGTGTTGGGCTGAACTATGAATACGTTGCTTGACTCAACTGTCCTTGAGAACAAGCCCGAATAAGAAATGGCAATGGCATCTCTCCTTACGAAGGTGTCATCTATAAGATCGACAGAAGACTCTGATACACGTTGAAACTGCAGTCTATGGCTTTGTTTTTGCTCTCAGGTTTCAACTAGTTGTCTTGCAGTGGAAGACAAAGGACGAATCTTGGATTTGTTACTGACTTGCCTTGAGGAGCCTATCTTTGAGATTCTTGGATTGAGTTCTCTGCCGCTCCCATAGATGGCGTCTTTGTAGGGGGAGAAGAGCCTGTATGAAAACCTTTCACAAACTGAAAAATAAACAGCTAAACCAATAGAGGATCTGCGGAAGTGTAATAAAGGGCAAACTGAAGAGTCTAATCAGTCAGTAACTTGTCGTATTCATAAATTCTGCCTACAAATTGAAAAAAACCTGTAGTTAACTTCAAAACTTTTGCCTCAAGTTGTGACTTATCCGAAAGTGCCACGAATAACTCCTTTATGTCCTTTGATTCACAGTGTTTCACTTCTAAATTATTTGTTAATGTATCACATTTGAATTTTATATTCCAGGTTATGGATTTGTAGATTTCGAAAGCCCTGCAGCAGCCGAAGGCGCAGTCAAGGCTCTCACTGCAAAAAATGTTCAGGCTCAAATGGCGAAAGTGGGTATTTGGTATCACCAACGTAGACAAGCCACTGTACGTTTGCATGCAAGTAATATCTAGCTTTACCTCTCAACTTTGTCACAGTTTCGCAATACATTTTTTATGTTTTTCGGAACAAATTTATTTTTATAGGAAAGATTTTTTTTTCGAGATTTTTTTCCAAATTCATGATACTGTACGAAGTTTGTCAATCTATTTTAATTTCATTGTGGGAGGAGAATTTAAATTGTATTTTAAAAGTAGAATTTATACATAGGAGTAAAAATTAAGTGGTTTAATTCAAAAATAATTTTGGCAAATCATTAAAATAAATTGTTTAAACAGGTTTAGTTTAGTGAACATATGGAAAACACTACTTGTGTTTTTCATACACATATTTGGTAGATTTGAAGTAGTTGTTAGGATAACGTCAAATTAATTAAATTTGCTAGATTCAATATACAGGCTGATTCACGGTGGATGGCACATTAGACGTTTCTGGTGAACCAGACAACGGATCACTTTGAAAATTTAATGGAGGGCATATTCGGACATTCTCTAGCCAACTAAAATATTTTCGACAATGCGGTGTTGCCGCTTCTATTAGAAAGCAGTAGCAACTTTGATTTTTCAAATG